ATACACATTCGAAAATGTCACATGAAGCTCAGAAAATGCTTGTATTGGATTTTAATCTGATTTTGACCAATATGTGATGAGGGCCAGTACTCATAATAATGCTTGCATTTGATATAGTGCCTTATTGCACCATCAAGATATCTTACAGTGAAATGTATTTCTTGATAAACAGAGCAGCCACTTTGTACATAGCAATGTTTCACAGGCAGTCATAAAGTGAATGACTAATTTTATAGGGGGGGATTTTTGGCCAGGCCACCAGGAGAGAGTCCCCTCTCTTTCAAATAGTTTAACAGGATCTTTCACTTTCACCCGATCAGGAACAGGCATTCAAATGTTGGCACTTCCACACACCCCAACCACTGCACTGCAGTGCCAGCCTGGCTCTGAGCTGGAATTCCTAACAAGGAGCTTAAACCCACAACCTCTGACTCTGAGGCGAGAGTACACCATCGTGCCGAGCTGACACATTGAATACTGAAATCTGACCCTTGTAATATCAAAGAGTTAATTGATATGTAAAATCTATCGTGTGAAGGAGGACAGCAGTGCCTGCAGTCACGGTGCAGCCCCGCTGTCTGGGACTTCACCAACGCAGCTTCTCTCCTGGCAGTATATGGGATTGTGAGATTTGACCCCCTTTTGACCGCACCAGGGAGGGGCTCACCCGGGGATTGCAGCCCGATACAGGCTTCCTTCTTTAGATATTTCTGAGACAGCTGTAACTTGTATAAATGTTGCCAGAGAGGTTTATTTGTGGGCGGAAGCACTGTCGATACAGCGATCCTGCTGCACAGTCTTCAGTGTCCGACACACCAAGTGCTTCACTGATGGTCTTTAAAAATGCTGTGTTTGGAGGGCTTTGTACTCCAGTGAACATGTGTAGCATTTCAAGTTGGGAAATCCGAGTGCATGCACTAACCCGAGACTGTATTCTCACTGCAGGAGTCCCTGATACATCAATTTGCTTGTTTTTTTCAAAACAAATCAAGGCTCGTGGTTTGCAATGTTGGACCATTTTGCCTAGCATGAAAACTCTCACTATCACGGACATGTTTCGATTTAAAATTGATAATTGTCAGTGAGAAGCGCACTCAGTCTGGCCCAGATGTATAAGAATCTGCCCTCAATACCTGGCCCCTTTCCGGCTAAGGCTTTACCCGGGGTTAAACCACACAACTGGTCAACACTGAAAATCCTCAATTCTGGAACCAGTCAATGTAACTCTGAATCCAACCACCGCTTCCTGATTTTTCCTCCATAGGTGTATCATTTAGGGATCTGCCATTCTGACTACACACACATACACGCACACACTCTCACACATACATATACACACTTTCTCTCACACATATGCACACTCTCTCACACACACTCTCACACTCACGCGCATACTCACACACACACTCTCTCGCACATATACTCACACACTCTCTCACCCACACACTCTCTCACACATATATACTCTCTCACACATACATACACACACTCTTTCTTACACATATGCACACTCTCACACACACTCTCACACTCATCCACTCTCTCGCACATATACTCACACACTCTCTCACCCACACACTCTCTCACACATATATACTCTCTCACACACACACTCTCTCTCTCTCACACACACAGTCTCACACACACACACATCACTACAGGGATCTGCCAGCAGCTCCTTCCTAATGTGACTTCACTCGTCAATCAGCAAAGCGCACACTCAAGGACCTTCATGGGTAAAAAAATACACAGCGAGAGAAACCCTCTGCTTGAGTGAGTTGCATACAAGACATCACTGTGAGATACACACACACATTCACACACACTCTCACACGCATACACACACTCTCACACATACACACACTCACAGAGTCCCTAACACACATACACACACTCTCACGCACACATACACACACTCTCACACACACATACACGCACTCTCACGCACACATACACACACTCTCACGCACACATACACACACTCACACACACATACACGCACTCTCACACACACATACACACACTCTCACGCACACATACACGCACTCTCACACACACATACACACACTCTCACACACACATACACACACTCTCACACACACATACACACACTCTCACACACACATACACACACTCTCACACACACATACACACACTCTCACATACACACACTTTCACACACACATACACACACTCTCACACACACATACACACACTCACACACACATACATACACTCTCACACACACATACACACACTCTCACACATACTCACGCGTGAATGAGTTAGGACCCGGGGGGAGAGGCGGGGAATCAGCAAACACACCACGTACAGTCGAGTTCACAAATCACAGCTCCCACCGCGATCCGCGCTGTACCTCCCGCCTCATCCCTACACACACACACACACACACACCGCCAGCTCAGCCCCACCATTCCTCCACACCTTCAGCTTTGCTGGACGAGACGACCATTTATCATATACACTTGTCACACACTTCATCTTCATCTCTCGCAACGTGATCACCGGGAATACTGGAGCAGTGAGGAGAGCCCTCGGTCCTCCCCCTCACAGTGATGTCTTGTATGCAACTCACTCAAGCAGAGGGTTTCTCTCGCTGTGTATTTTTTTACCCTTGAAGGTCCTTGAGTGTGCGCTTTGCTGATTGACGAGTGAAGTCTACTGGTGTGACACCACATTAGGAAAGAGCTGCTGGCGGATCCCTGTAGCGATGTGTGTGTGTGCGAGAGTGTGTGTGTGTGTGTGTGTGAGAGAGTGTGTGTGTGTGTGTGTGAGAGAGAGTGTGTGTGTGTGTGTATGTGAGAGAGTGTGTGTGACTGTGTGAGTGTGTGTGTGACTGTGCGAGTGTGTGTGTGAGTGTGTGTGTGAGTGAGTGAGTGAGTGAGTGTGTGTGTGTGAGTGTGTGTGTGAGTGTGTGTGTGTGAGTGTGTGTGTGACTGTGTGAGTGTGTGTGTGTGAGTGTGTGTGTGTGAGTGTGTGAGTGAGTGAGTGAGTGAGTGAGTGTGTGTGTGAGTGAGTGAGTGAGTGTGAGTGTCTCTCTTCCCTTCCCAAGGTCAGCACACTCGCTGAGTATGGATTTTTCCCCCCTGCGTGAACACAGTCAGCATTTTCTTGGCGTTTGATTTACAGGGTAAGGGGAAGCTCAGCTCTGAAAGTATTGCCGTGGGCATTGCTGCAAAAATTACCATCATTTAACAAATCCGCCCCGTGCCCCTTATTACCACATCATTTTAAAGTGCTTCTGGGCGCCGCAGGTCACAGTCCGACATCATTTCCTTGGCTTGTTCCAGGTCTCCACATCAAATGCCCTTTTTCCACAAACAATCATTCAAAAAAAAATTCGAAGCTGAAGTCTCGACTCCTTAGTCCGACTCGAGGTTTCTCCATCCCAGGGTTAGTGGGGGACGAGGTTGGGTGGTGGTGTGGGGAGGAGGACACGACCTTTATTTAAAGCAAAAGTGGTAGGAAGGTGATGCAGCAGGATTGAATGCAGCAGCCCTACTCTACACTAAACACAGTCCTCCCAGATCCCCATCATATTCACCACACTGGTTTCTTCCAGGCCCGAGAGGCCATCAGGAATGCATTTTAAGTTAGAACTGTTATCAACACTCTGCATTTTGCACCGTCTGTGCAAAGCCACCTCTTGTTATTGCTCATGTTTTAAACATGGGGGGGAGGAGGGGGGTTAAAATCAAGGGGAACAGAAGCATCCTTCCCAGTGGCTGGACACCTCTCCATCTAATCTAAAGCAAGGCTGGCGAGGCCGCTATCATCACTGGCACAGTGGATAACATTCCCATCCCATCCCATCCCATCCCATCCCATCGGCAGCTCTCATTCTGCTCCAGCACAGAGCGCTGCAGAGCAGTTACACCCGACTGTCACCCTATCGTGTTCACACGCACACCGAGATGCTTATAACAGCAACAATAATAATAATCCTCGCATTTGATATAGCGCTTGTCACGTCTGCTAGACGCCTCAAAGCGCTTGCACAGAATATGCTGTAAAGTGAATTGACCGAATATGTGCGGTGTGCACAAATGAAATGTTTTCATGGGCGATTACGAACTCGCCAGTCATTTCCTAAATGTACAAGACCCGCACTTGGACTGATGTGACCGATGTGGAGACCTGCTCGGGGAGGGGAGCAGTGTGAAGGCAGATGCTGACTTGCCAGCAGCTGCGCTCAGTCCATTGCCCATTTGCAATCACATCTCCGCTTGTGTGGTTTCACGTGGTTTGTTGTACTACAGCATTTCCATATTCCTGCACATTTGTTCTAACCGCCTTCCCCCGCCTGAGCCCGACAGGAGCTGTGTCCTCGCACCAATGTGGGCTTCAGCCGTTTGCAAACCGCAGTAACCGTATCCGTAAAAAGGGGAGTGAAATGATTTCTGTTCTGTCCTTTGCAAAACCACCGGCGTTGACTGCCGCTGTTCGAAAGAGGTGGTTCCCACCACCGTCCATTCCTGTCACTACTCTATCCCCCGGGGCTGTCGCCTCGCTTCTCCTTTCCCAACGTGTTATCTATCACACGCGTTATTAATTCTCACCAGAATAAGCCCAACGATGTCCCGATAACAAAGCGCAAGGGGGTGAGGTGTCTGTTACTGTGATCTGGTGGGTCCGGGGTTCACCTTTCCCCTGAGAGCGACGTTGAGCCAAACCCACCTCAGGAGCAGCTAAAGTTGGGGAACAGTGAGCGTTGGAAAGAGAAGGTCGATGTGAAGTGCTCAGAGACCCCCCCACTGGACGGCAAATCACCGCACCGAGAGGTGTGCGATCTGCTCGGAAAGGAAGGAGCCGGTCTCTGGGAAGTGAGGAATATCACTGGACTCTACAGTAAAGGAGACATACATTAGTATTGAGTGTGTGTGTCTGTTGCGGGAGGGGTGGGGGTGGAGGGGTTGGGCAGAGTATGGATGTGTGTATGTGCGGATTGGTGCAGGGGGAGAGGGAGGGAGGGTTAGGAGTTATTTTTAGTGTGAGTGCAGAGCCGCGATGTGCCAGTGTTGCTGAGACACGGGAGGTGCAGGAGCCGGAGCTGTTTTTTTCAGCACTCACACATCCCTCCACTCTCACTCAACGTGTAGATCGGGTAAGAGACCGCACCATCCGCATTCCTCCATCACTCACTAACATCACAGACAGGCACCGTGTCAGCCACAAACCCTGACTCCGGTTCAAGCTGTTTGCTGGTTGTGTGCGGTACCGGATTGTGCACCAAAGGGATGACCTTGTTCCCACGCTGTGAAGAGCGAAAGCTCAGTTTGCCAAAGGCGCTCACTCTTTACTGACATAACGTAACCAAGACTTCGTGTTTGAGAGCTTCACTGAGTATTTGTAGCCCGAAATCAGACTGCGGGGCAGGTCACAAACTTGGATCCGTTAATGTAACAGTAGAGATCCGGTCCACACAGCGGTGTGGTCTTTAGGGGTCAGATGCTTTTCTTCCAAGTGTGTTTGGCTTCTCTCGTCGGTTACTCGCGGTCTGTGTACCATTGCTGACAGTCGAGTGGGTGCATTTCTTTTCCTATTGAGAAGGGCGCGTGGACCGATCTCGTGTTTTCCGATGGTCAGAGTCAATATGGGAATGGTTTTGCTGACAGCGCTTGAATTGCCTGGTCTGAGCTCGCCGTGCAAACCTACAGCAGTGTGTAAAGGGACGTCCTGCCGGGGCTCGTGTGATGACAGGCGTTACATTGCTGTGTCAGCACTGGCAGCCAACGCTGAGGGCACAGAGTGAGTGAAGCGATCTAGTTATAAAAGTAACCTCCATCGTTTTGCTGTGTGAGTGAAGCCAGCCTTGGCACTTCAAAGGCACTCGGTGGATTCCCGTGTCCTACACATGCTCTCTTCAAGGGCATAAATAGGGCTAAATGATCACCTATAAGCGCAGCAGTTACTGCTGTTACGCTTTCAGGAAGATCCAATGGATGTCCCTCTAGTCAGGATGTTCTGTCAGACGTAACCAGAGACTGCAAAATATAAAATCTCACCTTCATTTGTTTCCTTGATGAGAGTAAAATACAAATATGATGNTTTTTTCCCGATTGGTACAATATTTCAAGTGCATTTAGAAAATACCCCGTGCATAAATAAGGAGGCAATATCCCTGGTGTCAGCCTATTGATTTGGCTAAAACGCTGGCTGATGAGGAAGCAGTGCTGTAAATGTGTTAGAAGATCAAGAGGGCTGCGGGAATGGTAAGTGAAGGATGGGAGGACCAGGGAAGGAAGACAAGGCGATGCTTGAACTGAGAGATACAGAACTAGTGAGAAACCCCTGAAAATGCGGCAAAGCGTCCGGCACGTGGAACCCAACTCACCAGCCCACTGTGACCACCCAGGTCCACGGGTAACACACACATTCATAGCAAACTGCTTGTCCTCCTCCAGAGAGATTGCTCCTGGAAATGGAAGATAATTTAATGATCCACTTTAAATGTGGATCTTCTGAAAGAAGAGGCAAATCCAATAGCTTTAACTCTTAAGTAAAAGTAAAATATCCGCACATTCTCACACACTGAAGGCACATACAGTATAAGTATACTCAAATGGGCAGCAGCACTTTAATTTCCAGGCTATTATCCTGATCTCCTTGTCCACCCATGAGATCCCCGGGATAAGATCCCAAACGCCTGACCCGGGCTCCCTTCCTCCACAGGATGGAGACCTGCCTTCCAGGATCCCAAGCCCTTTCCCAGGATACAGACCTTTCTCCCACAGTATTCAACCCCATACAGGGTATTAGCTTCCTCACTCATCGATGACCTCTCCTGGAGAATACAGGACCCCTTCCCCTCTGCAGAGTTTCCTCACTAGGATTCTTAGGATTCCAGGATAAGCTCATCACAAGGGTTGATGAGGTCTCCCTCCAGGTTCAGACTCTCAGGCTGCTTTGTAGGCTCTGAATCTCGGTGATGGGATGGGGTGCGGTTGGTGGGGGTGGTGGTGATGGGGGGGGGGGGAGGGGGGGGGGTCAGACACCCCACTGACCAAAAGCAAATCGCGCTCATAGCCACAACAGGGCTCTGGCCGGAATTCTAAGACTTTATTTGGGGCTGGAAACTGTGAATTCAGTTTGTAGATCTCCTGTTTTCAGATGCTCTGGACTCTGCCTCTCTGTGAGATGAAGGGGACCAGGGCATGAAGCTCAGCGCAGGGGGCGAGCTCTCTCTGGCACTGTGGGGCAGGGGCTCGCCCCTCACTCCTCAAGAGCTGCTGGTGTGTGCTCTTCTCATCGGTAGGGGGCGTTGGCTTTGTGCAATCGGGGAGAACAAGGAATTGTAATTGTAAGAGAGAGAGGAAGCAATAACAACGGCCAATGAACCCTCCCTTACATGGAGTTTAACACAAAGCCATCCAAGCGGAGCAGAAACACAGGAGATTTTAGAAATGGAAAGAACAAACGAAGCAAATTACTTCCATTTAAAATGAGACGCCCTCTGCCAGGTACTGATTTTAACCTCTGCAGAAGTTAGAGGAGGACAGCTGATGATTGTAGGAGATATTAGTTGTGTACAGGATGTTTAAGATTGAGCAGGTGGCCTTGGTTGCCTCACTTCATGAGGCTATATCTGGTCTATCATCCGTGCTTCTATGAGCCAGCCCATATATTCCCCTCTTATACAATGTTTTTATGATAATTGTAAGCTGCAAATCCTTTTTGAAGTTTACCTTTTGTTATGATATATCACAAAGGCCAGTGACTTCTGACAACAGTGTGAACCGCCCAATAAATCAGCTGTATTTCACACAAATTTAATAAATCTCAAAAAGCACCTTTAACAGTGTCATGTTTCATTTGTGAGGTCTCAGAATGCAAGCTCACACTTTAGGCTCGAAGAGTTACCATGTTATCACAGCAGTTAATTATTTAATAGTTCTGGGATTATCAGTAAAAAAAAACAAAGGGCACTATCATGCGTTTCTGTTAGAAATTTAGGGCTAAATGGAAGAAGAAAAATTAAACTGTTAAAAATTCATGTTAAGAGTCCATGTGAATGTCTTGCAGCCAATATGAGATTGCAGCAGGAATAATACCTGGTCACTGTTTGAAAAGGCATTTGGAGTAAAATTCTGCCCAAATACATATGTTATTTTATTGACTTCTGGTATTGGTGGGCAAAGAATGGTTTGTTTCTATGAGACAGCAAAGGAGATCTGAAACACTGCATACACTGCATCTTTGAAGTTTATAATATTAATCTTCCCCAATGTTTTAAGTGTCCAAGAATGATTTCCTAATACCTAGTCGGAGTTATTACATGTCATATGGAAGTCCAAAATTACAGACTTACTTACTTACTGTAGTATCTGTCATGGATATTAACAAATGCATTCCTCTGCAGAGGAATACATTGCAGTACCGAGGGAACAATCTGTGTCACAATAATAATAATCCTTGCATTTGATAAAGCACCTTATCACATCTTCTAGACATCTAAAGCACTTCACAGAATATACTGTAAAGTGAATTGACTTTATATTTTGTGGGTGAAACGTAGCAACCAATTGCACACAGCCCTATTCCACAAACAGTCGTGGATTGAGTGACCAAATTCTTATTATTTGCTTCTGAATTCTGAATAATCTGCAGGTTGTGCAGTGAAGAGTTTGGAAAGTCTGGTGAGCAAAAGTCAAGCAAAAGTCACTAAAAATAATGAATTGGTCATGCATCTCATTGGTATTTGTAGGATATTTGCTAATGCAGATTATCTACCATGTTTGCTTACGTAATGCTCACTGTGTTTCAACAATTGTGTTGGTGATGTTGTGATATGGCGAGTGAGGCACTGTTGTCTATCAAATACAAGGATCTTGTACTTGCTTTTACTAGACCTACATGTACATTACTTTCCATTTTCAGAAGGCCACTGTCTTATTAAGGTATTTTCTGCAGTATTACACAAAGGCGTAATTGGACAGACAAGATAAAAGCATATCCTATGTACAAATGTCTAAAAAGCAAGTTATCTTCATTATAACCTGCAACACTACATACAAAACATACAGGGGGTTTATACTAAAACAGTGTCACAAGTAAAGTGTCCTCAACATTACAGTTTAGAAGAACAACATTGTCGCACTACAAGCTATTTGTCAAGAATCAAATGCACAAGCTACTTATTAAGAATCAATTCATGCACATTATGCTTCAAAGCATTGAAACCATTGTTCCATATAAGTCTGGATGCCGTCATTTAGCACTGCACATTCCAAATGTTGAACCCCAGCTTACAGTCTGACAAATTGACATTGATTGATTGAAGTGTAGCAGCCAGAGGAAATACCCACGACCTGCTGTGCACTGTCATGCTCCTGTCTAACAATGCATATTCTGTACGCAAATAAATGATGTGCCACACTGAGGTGAGATCACTGTGTATGGGTTGGGGGATTAAAACTGGAATTCCGCATAGCAGCAATGGTACCACATCCTCTGTGGTGATTTATTTAGAGAAGAATCAATGGTCATAATATTGTCAGCATCAATAGGTGCTTCTGCACTATGTACTGCTGGCGTCATTGATAGCGCCAAAGTTTCAAGCATGAATCTTCGTGAATAATTATTGCTCACACGCATACTATAAAATGTGTCATCTACAGTCTAAATGTCCCATACATCACGAGCACACATTGATGCGTGATTGCTCAAAACACGAGCAACAGCAGACTGGATCTCTAATAGTGCAATATCAAATGCAAGGATTACTTATACTATTCTGAGTTATTAAAATAATAATAATCTTTGTATTTGATAAAACGCCTTATTGCGTCTTCAAGACGTCTCACACGCTTCACAGAATATACTGTAAGGAGAATTCACTGTATATTTTGTGGGCAAAACGTGGCAGCCAAATGCGCACAGCAGTGTCCCACAAACAGTTGTGGATTGAGTGACCAATTTTCAAATTTTTTTTGAAGGAATTATTATCTCTTAATTATCATTATTTCTAGAAATGGCTGATTCTGAAGTTATTTATATCATTCAACCTAAGGCAAGAATAGTAATCTGCAGTCCATGGCCAGTAGACAGTATTTACCATGGGAGCTAATCCGAAGTATATGTTCCACTGTGTGGTTGCCATTATCA